TAACTTGTAATGGTTCATCATCATTCATAACTGATAAATAATCAATATCAATCGATTCAGTTTGATCTTGTAATAAATTAATTTTATTATTATTATTATTATCATTATTTTGTTCATTTCTAAAATCGTTTGGTTCAATTAATTGATTTAAATATATCTCATCATCTGATGAAATTAATTCATAATCAGAATCCTGAATGGATGTAAATATTTTCGACAATTTTTGAATATTAATATTTTTTTTCTTCTTTTTCGATTTTGGTTGACGTAATGGTGGTGGTCGTGTTGATTGAAATGTAATAAACATTTCTTCAATGCTTGATTCTTTTGTTCTTGTAAACGACCATTGTTCAGTAATTGGTCTGATGAGATAAGTTACCGCCATCACGTCGTATTTAGCATAATTTATCATTTTTGTACGTTGTGCATGTGTTAATGATGAACCAATTGAAGATAGGCCATATGACCAATGTGACATGGTACTTGTTTTATCTATAAATAAATTAAAACTATATAAAAATGTTTTCTGTAATGACCAGAGCTGCTGTTCATTGTATGGACTTGGACGATGACATGTACAAGACGATGTTGACAATTTTCGTTGATCAGCTGTACTATCATTATTCTCCATCGCCTGTTGTTCCAGGCTCTGGACCCTACATTGAGTCCGAGCCCCCTCATACCAACCAGGAAAGTGCGGCTGAAGGTTAATTAATTCTGATTTTATTGGCCATGCGAATAAATAATTTGCTGTTTCAAGTTCGAGGTTCATGTCCCCCCATGAGTATATTTCATTACGTGATCTAAAAATTAATTTAAAAATTTCTTTAATTTTTACATACAAGTGAGATTCCCGATTTGGTAATTGTGATAGTTCGATAATAAGTACTTGTGATGGTAATGTACGAGGAATTGTATGAAATTGTATTATAGATAATTCATGGTTTGATATTTCACTTTCAGTATCTACTGGATATTGATAACAATCATTAATGTGATTTAACACTTTGTCCATAACTTCCGTTGACATGTATCGATTGACAAGTATAACTTCATAACTTGTTTCTGGAATAACAAATGCAGGATAAATTTCCTTCAATCTTTGGTTCACAATAACCATGTCCATGATGACTTGTATATAAGTGTTTTAATTTAAGTAAGTGTAGAACCGAATCGAGAATAAATAAATGATGTATTAGAAAGTGCAAGTAAATAACCAGTTGATGATGATGATGATAATTCAAGGAGTTGAATAATCAGTAGATTCAAATGTGAATTAATTTAAGTAAATAATCAGATAAGGTTCACGTTCGAATAAATAACAAAGAGAAAAATTTTCCCATAAATGAAGATTAATCAAGATGATTGAAAACGAAATTTCAAATAGATGATTAAATAGCAACGTATATTACAATCGAAGTGTATGATGAAGAAGAAGATTTAATTCTAAATAGATAAACAATAATAAAAATAAATAAATAAATAAATAAATGAACAATAGATAAATAAATATAAATAAATAAACATTGTATAACAATTGTTTCACGATCGAACCGTGGTAAGTAAATAAATAGACGACTCGATTCAATGGATCATAGAATAAAATCAGTAAATAATAAATAAAATAAAGGATATTCATTTGAAGACGATATTGACCAATAGCCATTGGTCATCCATTTAAACAAAATTCACTTGTTACGTAATATTGATCACAGATATCGTTAACATAAGGACGAATTTATCACCTAATATGATTGGTTTCGTTCAGAAACAATCCTTTAAAGAAAGTTTCCATTGATGACTCATCATCATTTTTTTTTTTTTTTATATATAACTGTAAATATAGTCATTATTAATTTTCCATTTGGATTTGATAATAAAATTGATTTATTAATCCAATTCATAGATGATAAATGTTATTCCATATTAACCGTTGCGCATACGTTTAATTTGGTTTAACATAAACATCATAAACATAATCCATTTCCAAAATCAATAAGAAATATTTATCAATAAATAAATAATATTAATAATAATAAAAATACTAATAAAAAATATTGATAAGAAGTTTGATAAAAATATTGAGGAGTTTAATGTTGTTAATTTTTGTTTTATTTTTAAAAATTTTTTTTTTTTTTATTAATTTAATTTTGAAACATAGATGGGTCTAATATCATTTATGTGCACTTGTGTTTCAATTTGAGTTATTTCATCTCGAACAACGTAAACAGGATGTTGTGCACGAATAATAATTTGTGGTGTAATTGAAAATTTTGGCTCTAATTTATATTTTAATCCATGTCTTCTAACTAAAACACGATCATTAATTGTATAATGAGGATCAGGACGTCGTTTATCATATTGAGTCTTATATTGATGTTGTTTACGAATAATATTTTCACGAGCATATCCATGTATCAATTTCATACTTTTCTTTAATTGCTCATAATAATCATTTGGTTTTCGAAATGTAAATGATGATATTGGTCCATCAATAGGTAATCTTGGTTCTCGACCATATAATAATTGAAATGGTGAATATTGAGTTGTTGAATGTGTTCCCGTATTGTATGCAAATACCACAGGTAACAGAAATTCATCCCAGTTATTATTTTCTTTATTTTCAAGTTTAGCAATTTGAGGTACGAATGTTGCATTGAACCTTTCTATCATACCATTAGATTGAGGATGATATGTGGTTGAATATATGTGATTATATCCAACTAATTTTGACATGGCTTTCATTAGTTGATTGTGGAAGTGCGTTCCTTGATCGGATAATATGACTGCCGGTACCCCATACTTGCAAATGAATTCATTAAATAATGCTTCAGCAGTAGTTTGAGCTGAACAATCAGGTACAGCAGCAGCAACCACCCATCTTGTGAAATAATCCGTAAGACATAATACATATTGATTACCACGTGGAGTTTGTTTAAATGGACCACAATAATCCATGCCAATTAATTGAAATGGTCCTTCAGGAGGTGGAATTGGTTGTAAACGACCAGGTTTCTTCGATCGACTAATATTATATTGTTGACAAGGTAGACATGATTGTATGGATTGTGTAATAGATTGCTTCATATTCGGCCACCAATATTTATTTTTAATTTTTAAATATGTTCGTTGAACTCCAAAATGACCACTAAGAGGATCACTATGATAAACTTGTAAAAGATCATTAATTAAAGATGAAGGCAAATAAATTAATTTTTTCTTCGTATTACAACCTTCACGCATAATCATTAACTTATATAATAAACCATCTTTGAATTCATAAGCACTTTTAATTGGATTTTTCATAACTTCTGTAATTTTTTGTTGAATATCCGGATTAGACTTCTGCGTGACCACGATTTTTCAGTCACGTCACGTCACGGTCACGAGCTGCTTGGTCACGGTCACGTTCATAGTCACGAAGATTTTTCGAAACTAGTCACGATCACGTCACGGTCACGAGCTAGCTGGTCACGGTCACGTTCATAGTCACGGAAATTTTTCGAAACTAGTCACGGTCACGTCACGGCCACGGAAATTTTGGATTACTAGCTGGATTTTTGTGCTACAAAATCAAGATTTAAATTGATTTCGTAGATTTTTCCTGTAACAAAACAAAGAAAACCCATAAATCAATTAAAATCTAGAGTTTTTTTCACAAAAATCAGACGTTTAGAATCAAAATTTTTCACTGTTAAGTCACGGTCACGAGCCATTTGGTCACGGTCACGAGCTATTTAGTCACGGTCACGAGCTATTTAGTCACGGTCACGATCCCAGTCACGCCAATTTTTCGAAAACTAGTCACGGTCACGGTCACGAGACGTCGTGACCGTGACCGTGACCGTGACCGTGACCATTTTGCAGAAGTCTAATCCGGATCTTTTCCTTGTTCAATTTTTAATTGTTCTATATCCAGTGTATTTTTTGCAATAATTTGTGATGGATCTTCTTTCATTTGATCAGTTTCTTCTTCTATTGGTGGTAATGTTAGCATATTTCTATCTATTGGTGGTAATGTTAGCATATTTCTATCTATTGGTGGTAATGTTAGCATATTTCTATCTATTGGTATTGTTGTTGAATTTTGATCTTGTTGTAATTGTAATTGTTTCGCTTTAGATCTTGTTACAATAGCTCCAGCTAGTGGAGGAATTTCATCAGGAACACGATCCATAACAGTCGGTTCCCTTTTATCACGTTTAGCAATACCATAATCT